TGAAAGGGTCTAGGGACGCCACTGTAATGGGAACTGAAAAATTAGAAAATTAATTGTTTTTTAGATAAATCSCTGGGTAGTGGCCCCTCACTATAATATTATTTTTATAATAAATAGACACGTGGTTACCGATCTGCTGACTGCTGTACTGTACTTAAGTGTCTAGAGGGGTTGCTGTAATGGATGATGTTTCGAATTTGAATTCAATGATTTAAAATCATTGCAAATGAAAAACTGAGCGAGTGAGCGATGACAGTGTGTCAGCTTATAATATTGTAGGTACCTACCTTATACCTACAAAGAATATTTGATGATATTTTAAATTTGATAACATAGTAATTTATCTTCTATTAKAATATTAGAAATTGATACTAGATATAATAATTTTTTTCTAAATTCACTTTTGTCTTAACTCTTAATTTCATGTCTCAATTTCATTTGAAAATGTCGTTGTGAATATAAAATATAATAATAGATCTATCTCACAAAAATTCTAATTTCAGATGCCCATAACCATGACAAAAATATTACCTACTGATTTACTCTCATCATTTTTTTTTTATTTTTTACCAGCAATAGCTTTTGAGGATCCTTAAAATAAATTATTAACTTTTTTGGAAAAAGCAAAACATTTTCTATCAATAATTGTTTTTTTTTAAACTAATAAAATTCAAAATTTTTAAGTGTCTATAAATAGTTCTAGAGATATTTTGAAAATATTATGGACTATGGTGAATAGAAAAATATTGACATAAGTTATATAAACATTCAGTGACAATGTCTYGTAACAGTTGTAACTAAGGTTATTCGAAAAACTGGTTTAGTACATAAATTTCTGTTTTTCCAATTTTTCTCTCAACGCTATTACCTAGGTACTGTGATTTTTTCGTGAAATTCCAAAGTTTCAACAAATTGTATGCAATTTTAAATTTAATAAACATTAATAAACATTTTATAAAAAAATCGAATTTATTTATTTATTTGATACGATGATGTGTCATACACGATGATATGCCACGCGATATAATGTATTCGATAAACTGTTACACGATGAAATGTTGGCGAGGATGTTTAGAGCGATGAACTAGTGGCGATGAATTGACGCACAACGAATAGGCTCACGATGAAATAGCCACGATGAAAGGGCGGTGTACCATTTTACTGCCCTAGTGCCAGGTAAGGTGACGAAGAACACCAATAATAATAATAATAATAAAAATAAAAACACTTATTGTAAAAAAAGTTCATATGGAGATGCATCACTAATACTCCCTCCACATCAGCGATAACTTGAAATTGTTCAGTTGTTCAGAGGCTTGTTCATTATACAAAATTTCTTTGTGAGCTACTAAATGATTCAACTTCAAAATCCCATCATTTTTTTTTCTGAAAGTCCATTTTCTCATCTTTTTTTGTACCAACAACCTAGTGATCAAATTATTTTTTCTGGAGAAGGGGGATCTATGTGGCTAATTTTTAACATCCACTATTTATTTGACCATTAAAAATATGATTTTTAGGATTTTAATTATTGAAAAAATGGTCTAACCAGTAATCATTTAACTCTAAATCATATCATTTATTACTAGGTACCTACTGGTATTTATTTATTATAACCAAAGCAGGGTGTGTTAACCATTTTTTTAAACTAGCTTCAGTTATGTTATCTTGAGAAAATAGTCAGTTGAGTTTAAGTTATTTTTTTTTTATATTACCTACTACCTATAACCATCATATTTGGTAGGCGMTAACTGAAAAATTGTTGAGTTTTAGTATAGGTACCTGAACCATAAGCACACTCTWGCATTTTTTAACTAAATGTAATATATCATAAAGGTCTCATTTTATTTTAATATTATAGAAATGTAAAATAAATATATAATCAATAAATTATAAGAATCATTTATTAAATAATTAATAGTGATGTTTTTTTTTGTTGAATTTATGGTCAGCTGTAGGCCTGTAGATCTTTTTAAGTTAATAGATAACTTTGTTATTTTATAAGCATTATTTATTTTTTGGTTAATTGGATGTTATTGAGAAAAGTAATGAATAACTTTATTTTTTACCTTTTACCACTCATATATGATTATCTTTATTAATTAAATACTAGGTAGATATTTCTTTATAGACTTCAATCTGGCCATTCTGAATAAACATTGTTACTACAAATACTAAGAATGGTGTAGAATTAACTTGACATATGTCAAAATAATTAATACTTAAATGGTAAACTTATAAATAATTTATTTAGTTTTGATTTTTTGAAATATCTACTTATAAGTTATAGAAGTTATAATCACATGTCTTTTTACACTTTGAGATGTGTCCCCAAGTATATAATATAATAACTATATTATGTTTAGTATTTATATACTTAGCTAATATAATATCAAAAAAAAAAAATTACCTAAACAGTGGTTATGAAATTTGTTTTAAACATTTAGAAAGACAAATTACCCTATATACTCAGGCCCTCACCACACAGAAATTGTAGGTATACAATACTGTATTAATATATTGACTATTTAATATAGATATACCAAGTATAAAAATGACTAGTTGTCTGTTTATGATCTAAGCACTTGAGTGTCTAATAAGATGTTGTTCAAAATAAATTTTTTGTRAACGGGCTACTTAGACTATGTGTTATGTAATACTGATAATCAACTGATAATAACTGAAGAAAACACTGTAACTGTAGTGCTTTATTATACCTATATAATATATATTTAGAATTTTATCTGAAATTATTTTAAGTATAAATAAAATTACTGCATATTTTAAAAGATTTAATAATACTATTGATTATTTTAGCATAACAAAAAGATACTTACAAGCGAATAATTGAATTAAAATAAATTTATTTAAAAATGAATTAACATTATATTATTACAACAAAAATTGACTCTGGAAAAATATATAAATATACTAGTATAATAAACAATTTATTTAAGATTATTTTATTGAAACTTAAGTATATAATATATTTATGTAATTTTATATGTATCAGTAGCAGCATTTATTACTGTAAATCTAAAAAGTATTTATGTCCAATGAAGCCTTTAGATGATATTGTATTTTTTAATGCTTCTTTGAATGAGTTTAATGGTAAGATTTTGTGTGCTGGTGCAATTAATCTGCCATCTTTCATATACAGCAAAAGTTCTTCATACATTTGGTTATATTGCTCAGTGTTAACATTTTCTTTACGCCATCTAGTCATCCAAAAACCTCTGAGTTGAATATCTTTAAATATAAATGAAGCAGTTGGAACAATAACTGGTTCTCTTGACATACCACCATAAGTCACCATCACACCACCATTGTTCAATGTACGTAAAACTTCTGTAGAACTTTTACCTCCTATATTGTTTATTCCTAAACGTGGTTTGGATAATATTCCACTTCTAAACAAATCTGTTGTCCTAAATAAGGAAAAATGATATGTTAATAGATTGAATAGATAACATAAGCATAAAAATACTAACTGAAATATAATTACTATTTTACCTTAATTCTTCCTCAGTAAGAACGTATGAAGCACCTAGTGACTTTAGATAATTTTTCAAATTTTTTAAGTCTGGTTCAGGTCGATTGCGTATAATGTTAACACTAGTATAATCAAAAATGTTTGCCAATTGAATAATATTTTGACCACAAGCACTGTTTGCTCCATTTTGTATGATAACATCATTTTTATTTAATGAAACAAAATCATGTAACATTCTATAAGCAGTACACGGATTAGAAGAAATACCACTTAATGCATATACATTAGTATCTTTACTTACCTAAAACATAAAAATATAATTTGTTATTAAATCAAGAATTATGATGGAATATATGTATCATAATGTATTTAGAATAATTGTGTTTCATACACACACATGATAAAATGCTAACTCTCATTTTTCGATTTAAAAATAAATGTATTCAAAAATAAATTTTTGGAATTTTTAAATATATCTTAAGTGGGTGTCATGTCATCCATGTGTTGTCTTAGTATTTTACGACTAAGCAAATTTTTGTTCAACAGTTTCAATAGTGTGCTGCTATTAATTTTAATACATCAACATTTTTAGCAAAATTATTTGCTTAATAATTTGCAAAAAAAAAAAAAAATACAATGGGGCTTCTCAATAGAAAAACAGAAGTTTGTGTCAGCATATGACACTCTTTAGGTCGTACAAAAATCCCAAACATTTTAAAATAAGTATATTTAAAACTCTACAAATCAAAATAATTTGAGTCATATGAAAAATGAGGATRTTTTGTTAATCACCCTATATTTTACAATTTTGATGTTAATTTTTATAACATTACAAGCCAATCAAAATTGAACATATTTTAATAACAATTTTATACTACTGACTTTTCTTAGTAGTTTAGAATCGAACACACCAGTTGTACACCAAGTACCTATAGCACCGTCTGGAATAACTCGATCTCCGGGACAGAGATTTTTAACGCATGATCCGACTGCCAATACATCCCCAATTCCTTCAAACCCTCCAGTGGCAGGCAACGGTGGTTTCACAGGATATACACCTTGAATAGTATTAATATCGGCAGGATTGACTGGCGCAACAATCATTTTTACCAAGACCTTAGACGTGAACAAGTAAACATATTATTATTAAGCTGTTTGTGTAATAACTATCAATTGCAACATACCTGYTCATCATCAAGTTTGTCGGGCAGTGTATGCTCTACAAGATTTACGACTTTCATGGGATCGCCATATTCTTCGTACACGATTTTACGACAGTAAATGTCACGACGATGGTGTTTGATCACGAGAGATCGCAAAACTGTAGTTTGGCCGACCAAACTGCTCATCCGAAATACTGTGTTGAACATTGCAAACCTATAACTAAGTTGAAACAACGATGTGGATCGTCAACGCATGGAATCAAATAACTAATTGTCCAAGATTTTATTTTTCGACTTCTACTTGTAAAATGAAGCCTTAATATGCAARTAAATAACGATTTCCAATTCACTCAAAAGCCGACAGTCGGCGTAAAAAATTACTATTCGTTTCTAATCTGATAATCATGAAAATGTGATAACCGATATCAGATTAGCACAAAGATCATCTTATCAACGACCCTAGAAACTGGCTTGTGAATTATTGTGATATAGGAAATTATCATAAAATTACTTTAACCATTGATTATAATTTATAAATACTATAATAATACTATTTATAATCAATGCTTTAACTTAATAGTTAATAGTTTAATGTTTAATACATTGAAAATATATCATTGTGTTTATACACAAAAATAATATATAAACATATAATAATAATATACGTATTGTCCGTTTGTCCGTATTGACAAAAAGATTCAAGTCCCAACATATTATTATTTTTTGTAAAATGGCTTGAATATCCAATTTCGTGTAAATGTAGCTAAAAAAAAAAAAATGATCACTGGTATTTTGTATGAAAATATGATCTCTACAAAATCAAAACTATACTGAGACTGACATTAAATAATTGCAATCGGACGAACATAAACATTACAGAAAGTGTATCTCCTAGTGGACAACAAAGAATACCTACAACCTACACGATGAGTTTTGTAGCCGTTTATTGTATTTCTAGACATACATTATAGTATTATACATATTATAATATACTGAATATTACTGATCGACAGGGCCGGTTTTAGGGAACTATGCACCCAGGACAAGGAAAATTAATGGGGTGCGACTCGTTTGCGCACATTTACCTTTTTTACGACACGTTTGCGCACACATATTTTAGGTTTAAATAATAAAGGTACAACTCGTTTGCGCATATTTCCCTTCTTTTGCTTAATTATAATTAACTAATAGACTGTATAAAATAATATAAAGATTATGCTGATCATCAACTAATTGTTTTTTAGCATCTTCTAAAGATCTCGGTATGTTTGGAAAGG